AAAGAAGGGAATGGAGGCATCACACTCCCAGACTTCAAACTCTACTACAAAGCCATAATCATCAAAACTGCATGGTATTGGAACAAGAACAGACATACAGACCAATGGAATCAAATAGAAAATCCAGAAATGAACCCACAGATTTATGGTCAACTAATCTTTGACAAAGGAGCAAAGACTATGCATTGGAGTAAAGAAAGTTTGTTCAATAAATGGTGCTGGGAAAACTGGGTCGCTACATGCAAAAGAATGAAGCTTGACCACTACCTCACACCATACACAAAAATCAACTCAAAATGGATTAAAGAACTAGACATAAGACCTGAAACCATAAAATACATAGAAGGAAATATAGGCGAAACACTACGGGATTTGCACATCAAAGACATCTTTACAGACACATCACCCAAAGCAGTGATAGTGAAGGCGAAGATAAACAGCTGGGACTACATCAAAGTAAAGAGCTTCTGCACAACAAAAGAGACAATAACTAAAACAAAGAGAAACCCCACCAACTGGGAGAACATTTTTGCACCCAACACTAATGATAAAGGACTGATCACAAAAATCTGCAAAGAGCTGATGAGACTTAACAACAACAAAGAAAAGAATCCAGTCAAAAAATGGGCAGAAGAGCTAAAAAGAAACTTCTCTGAAGAGGAAATGCAAATGGCCAACAGGCATATGAAAAAATGTTCAACATCACTTGTCATCAGGGAAATGCAAATCAAAACTACCATGAGATACCATCTTACACCAGTGAGAATGGCACATATTAAAAAAACTAGCAACAACAAATGTTGGCGAGGGTGTGGAGAAAAAGGAACTCTTCTGCACTTTTGGTGGGAGTGCAAACTGGTCCAACCACTGTGGAGAGCTGTGTGGAGATTTCTGGACCTACTAAACATAGAGCTTCCATATGATCCAGAAATTCCACTCCTAGGTATTTACCCAAAGGACACAGAAACATCAATTCCAAAGAACACCTGCACCCCTATGTTTATAGCAGCACTGTTTACAATAGCTAAGCTTTGGAAACAACCCAAATGCCCAAAAATAGATGACTGGATCAAGAAGATGTGGTACATATATACCATGGAATATTACTCAGCATTCAAAAAAGATAAACACATGCAATTTGCAGCAACATGGATGGCACTGGAAGGGATCATGCTCAGCGAAATAAGCCAAAAAGAAAAAGAAAAATACCGGATGGTCTCACTCATAGCAGGAATCTAGAAAACTTAAATAAGGGACCAGGAAAACGAATAACTATAAGAAAGTGAAAATCAAAATCAACAAAAAACTACGAACCAGAGACACTTTTAGGGGGGGGGGGATGGGAGGGGAGGGATTGGGGTCAGAATGGGGGGCTGCAATTGTATGGGGAATATAAAAATAAAATTTATTATTATTAAAAAAAACAAACATGTCACAAATCAATGAAAAAAAAAAAAAAAAGAGTGGGCTCAGGATGCCATAAAAGGACCGTATGACAAAATGGGACAATACAATCTCCTTGCGCTTTCGACCCTGTTCAAAATGGAAATGTGCAGCGATGAGTAAAGGACTGGAATACACAGCTCTGCAAATCACATACCCAAGCGGGTCCTAACACATGAACGTGCTCAATACGACCAGTCACGAAGGAAAAATGAATGAGAAGTACAAGAGATGAGACTGTACGTCTGCTGGGATTGCAATGCTTTAAAAAGACAGAAAAGAACAAGTACTGGCAAAAATCGGGACCTGGCTCCCTTGCGCACTGTTGGGGCAAACATAAATGATGCAACCAGGAGGGAAGACAGGAAGGTGATTCTTGGGAAAAGGGAACTCAGAATGACAGGAGGACCCACCCCCACCCCGGGGTGTTCACCAATAGCAGGGACAGCAGGGACGGGCAGAGACGTTTGCTCACCTACGGTCACTGCACCACCAGTCATTACAGCCCAAAGCAAAATCAACCCAAGCCCCAGGTGATGGATTAATGGATAAATAAGACTGGAAAATACACATAAGAGATTATTAATGAGCCTCACAATGGAACTAAAAAATGACACACACTACAATATGAATGCACTCCTGTAGGATACCTATGAAATGACAAAACAGTTAACAATGCAATAAAATAATAGATTCGCCAAGAAAACAAGGTGTAATAAGACTCCATTCATACAAGTCTGAGTTGTCAAACTCTTGAAAACAGAAAGTAAATGGTGGACACAGGGGCTGAGGGACAGAGCAGTTGGGAGCGAGAGTTTAATGAGTACAGTATTTTATTACTGGGAAATGAAAAAATCTGGAAGGTGGTGATGGCTGTATAACACTGGCAGATACTAAAAGCCAAAGAACACCACATGCAATTAACAGCGAAAGGAGACTTTTTATTTTACATTTAAATAAAGGGTCAGGGGCTTTCCTGGTGGCTCAAAGGTAAAGACACTACCTATGGAACTGTCCCGCAGCCACAGCAGCATGAGTTCAATCCCCAGCCAGAGAGCTACCCACATGGCGTGGCAGACCTCTCCTGACTTGCCCACTGCTCCCCTCAGCAGTGTATATCAATAGATTCGCCTGTTCTGCTCCCCACTCTGTCTCTGGAGAATCCTCCCCCCACACACCTCTGGCCCATACCCCAGTTTCTGTATGCATAAATAAGTTCATCTTTTAAATTATGAATGAATGGAGGGCCACGTTTACTAGGAAAAGGAGAAAAGGAAGCAAAGGTCATGCTGGGCAGAAGAGCAGCCACTGCTGCTCTCCAGAGTGCAAAGGTTTATAAAATGAAACACTTGCATGGTCACAGGTGACAGAAGAGCTGGTAAAATTAGGCTGCGAAATATATTCATTCTATCAATATACTATAAACATCTATCAAAATTAAAAATATCTACCATTAACCACAACTTCAGCAAGAATCATACGTATGACAAATGCAAACACACCTACTATACTCCAGACTCGATGACAGAAACCTGGAGCTCTTTATTAAAAACTACATTAAGCATCACTGACATAAACTCCCAACAACCAAAGGTCAAATGATGAACATCTGCGCTACCTGGTTTTACTCAGCGAGTGTCTGTGTCATGACCCTTGTTCCAACATGTCCCACTGACTCCTGAGTACTTTCTCCCCCTGAACTCTGAGGTGTCACCACACCCTGGCCAGTAGGAGGCAGAAAAGGGAGCAACCTCATCACTGAGAAAACACATCCATCAGGTTTGGCCAAGAATGAGAACTGTAATGTGAAAGAAAGTGAACACACACACACACACACACACACACACACATGCACGCACGGCGGTACTGCTGTTACCAATCATTAAGATATCAGGTAATATTGAAGAGTAACTTGCATTGGGTGAGACTAAACTCTGGAACAGAGAAATCCCTTTCTGGTGGCGGGAGACCTGGGCTGACAAAGATCTAATCCCACACGGGAGGGCACAACACAGGATGAGGTTTGCATGTTGCATGAGCAGCAGGTGCCATTGGGACGGCTACAGGCGCAGTCAGGTGGGAGCCGAGCCTGTGATACTAGGCCTGGGCAGGAGGCCCACGCTCAAGTATAACTGGCAGAAATGGCAAAACACAGTTGACTGACTCACTCAGGAGAAGTGCAGACTGAAGACGGGAGACCAGATCGGAACACAGGGAAGCTACATTCAGGAGCACAAGATACTCAAGCATTCAGGGACACAGAAAAGAAATCATCAGAGAGACCATGACAAAAGCAAACACAAAGAAATTTGCATCTTCCAAAACACTGAAGACGGAGGAAAACTCACCAACACATACAACGAGGTCAACATTGCCCTGATCCCCCCCAAAAAAAGACAGCATAAAAGGGAAAAATAGACCAACACCACCAAAGAATAGAGAAGCGAAAATCCTCAACAAATTCCAACCGAGTTAATACAGCAACATGGAGTCTCCCTGGTGAAGCAAGGGGTTAAGGCAAAGCACTATGAAGCTATCCACAGCCCCTGCAGCATGAGTTCAATCCCCAGTCCGGGAACTCACCCACACGGCACACCTGGCCTCTCCTGTCTCCTTGCTGTTCCCCTTAGTAGTGTATTTCACCAGATCTGCCTGTTTTGTTCCCCGCTCTGTCTCTGGTCAATGCTCTCACCCACCACGTGTCTGGCCTGTACCCCAGCTCTTATATGGATATATAAATCAATCTATAAAATTCCAAATGGCTTAAATATTTGGTGATGTACTTGACAGAAAATATAGGGACACACTTAGGACAGTTGCCCCAAAGTGTACTAGGGAACACAACCCCAACACCCAGGGAAACAAAAGCAAAAATCAACAAGTGGGACATCATTAAAACTAAAAGCTTTCACACCTTAAAAGAAACCAGCCCAAAAACTGAAAGGCAGTCTACAGAATAGAAAAAGAATCTGCATGCCACACATGTGACAAGGGGTTCATTCCAAAATTTATAACATCCCCAAACAATGCTGCTGCCCGCTGCTCCCTTCAGCAGTGTACTTCGGTCCTTCTGCCTGCTCTGCTCCCCGCTCTGGCTCTGGTGAATCCTCTCACCCTCCCGCGCTTCTGACTGTACCCAGTGCATGTATAAATAAGTAAACAAATCTTGAAAAAAAAAAAAAAAGTTGTCCTTTTTAAAAGACATGTGGCTCCTTCACCCCCATTCTGCACTCAGGTTCTCAGGCCCCATCCTCCCCCTCCTCCCACACCCCGCACCTGACCAGCGCAGAGCTGGGAAGTGTTTCTGTCCAGCGGGGTGAAGAGCCACAGTCCACACCTTCAGCGTCATCAACCCCGACCCAGGTACAGACTCTGACTCTGCGCTGTGTGAGCACCATCTTCACGCATGCTGGACATGTGAAGTGCCTGGATCTACGCCACACCTTTCTCTGGTGAGAAATGTGTCCCTGGAGAAAACTATGTTTCTAATTTACATGTCCCGTGATGAACTCGCATAAAGTCAATGCACATCGAGCTGAAGCAAACACAGCACTCACCAGAGACTGGTCCATTGTCGCTGCTCTCGCAGACGTGCCAGGGCTCGGGAGGCGGCGCTGGGAGGGGCTATGGGGTCCAGTACAGAGGACGGAGGCAGCTGCACGGGGTCCTGGAGTCTCCTGTCCAGAGCCCGCCACACGCGGCCTGGAGACACCAGAGAGTCACTGTGGGTGCCGGCCGTGTGACACTTCTAGCAGGGGCAGGAGAGGCCCCGCGAGTCCATGAGTGGCAGAACCTGGGTTGATGGTTCACCGTAACTTAGTAAAAGGTGACACTTCCCACTGCCTGATCAACAGTCACGCCAAGAACAACAGTCTCAAAGCTGATGAGTCACTTCAGAGTGTGGACACGATTTCCAACGAGACGACGCCCCGAACGCACTGTTCTGCCAGGACACCCGGCAGTGGCTCCGCGCCGCTTCCTGCCCTCCTCTCTGTGGACACCCCAACAGGGATGCAGTCCCCCTGGGGTGCGCACGTCCAGGCAGGAGGCCAGAGTGCAGCAGGCAGCAGGACGCCGCCTGGGGGCAGGAACGCAAAGCACACCCAGAAATTCAGACAACTAGCCTCTAATACCCCAGGAACTCCCCCCAACTCCCCCCCCACCCCCCGCCCTGCAAACCCAGTCTCCCGCCAACCTCCCCGCCCCCACAGGTGCCGCCTCCCCCCCGGCAACCCACGCCTGCCCACCCTGGGTCCCCCGCCACGTCCCCCGCCCCCACTGGGTCCGCGAATCCCGCCCTGGGCGCAATACCCACCCCCAGAAACGCCGCCGGGTCTCCCCTCCATCACCGCCCGACTTCGGAAGGCCCAGAGAGTCAGCGCGCATGCGCACAGGCGGACCTGCGCTTCCCAGGCCCCCGCCTCGGGGACCCCGTGCTCCGCCCCGGTAAGACCCCGGCAGCGTCCGGGGTCAGGGCCGGGCGGCCGCGTCGGGGACACCCCGGAAAGGTCGGGACGTTCTCCCCAACGGCCCTGCCCCGCCCCCACGCGCGCTCCGGGGGGAATCGGCTCCAAAGCGCCCGACTCCACGCGGCCGGGGCCCCCACTCGCCCGCGCCCCCCGCTCCCCAACCCCCGGGGTCGCCGCTCCCCCGAGCCCGGCCTCCCCGGACAAACCCGCGCTCACCTCGTGGCGCCCCAGCGCTCGCGGAGGCGCCAGAACGTTCGGGCGGACGGGGGCGGGGCCGCGCCTGCGCAGATCGCGGAAGCCCCGCCCAGAAACCTCCGCGGGAACCACAGGGGCTGGAGACTACATTTCCCACAACCCCTTGCGCAGCCCGTCGGGCCGTCGTCGGGGTGGGGTTGCGGTAGGGAAGTGGGAAGAGTGGAGGTTGAGGAGAACCGGCGGGTGGACGAGGCCAGTGAAAACTGTGGGGCCCATAACGGGTTCAGGGCTCTGAGGGAAGAGAGCTCAACGGGGCCGCCCTGGGGCTGAAGGGGTTAAGCACCGCGCTGACTGATGAGCTCTCTGCCCCCTCCACAGCAGGGAGCCTCCCACAGGGCTAGGCAGACCTCTCCCTTCTTGCCCACTGCTCCCCTCAGTAGTGTATTTCAGTCAGTCGGCCTGTGCTATGCCCCACTCTGTCTCTGGTGAATCCTCTCTCTCTCTCTCTCTCTCTCTCTCTCTCTCTCTCTCTCTCTCTCACACACACACACACACCCCTTTGGTCTGCACCCCAGCTCTTGTATGAATAAATTTTAAAAATATACAGAAGAAGTTCACATACAGTCTAAATAAGACATTCAGATACCAAGACACATTTCATCAAAACCAACATTCAGGTATTTAAGAAGCATCTTGACCTTCTGATATCTGGATCACAGAGTCGGTGTTCAACATAAAGATGCTTTGCTTAGCTAATGTGAATGCACAAGAATTCTACGCTGTTATGAAAAGCTCACCTGCTCTTTCATCACATGCTTGTGAAGATTTCTTTTGGCAACAATGTCCAATAATATTCATGGCTCCATTACTACCATGAAGACACATGAGGATATTAATAAACTGAAGGAGAAAATGATGAAATGAGTTGAACTTCAGCATGTTTGTGTCTAACTTTATTGCCCACAATGAAGTCCACGACTCCTCTGGGTGATTTAGATCAATCTTTTGAGTCAGCCACAAACAGCATATCCATTTAGATTTTCTTCATCCATGATACATGACACCATTGTAAATGTACCCAAGCAATTAAGACGTAAACAAACTCATCAACTGGAGGAGGGTCCCATAGATGTTTGACACACGAAAGTCAAATACATGACTCCACCTACATAGCAGGAGAAAGCCATGGAATGAAGTGATTTAGGGCTGAATTATATTCATCAGGTCTCTTCACAATATTTCAAGTATGTTTGATAAAAAATGACATAGAAAATAACTATACATCTCCCCACACCATCGTCTTGAACTTTAATTTACTTTTTTTAAAGATTGATTTTATTCATTTATGCATACAAGAGCAAAGGGGTAGACCAGAAGTGTAGGGGGTGAGAGGATTTGCCAGAGTCAGAGTGGGGAGTAGAACAGGCAGGCTGACTGAAATACATTGCTGAGGGGAGCAGCAGATGAGACAGGAGAGGTCTGCCACACCATGTGGATAGCTCCCTGGCCGGATGGGAATCGAACTCGTGCTGCAGAGGCTACAGATAGCTTCACAGTGCTGTACTTTTAACCCCTTGCACCTCCAGGGAGGCACACATTTTCCTTTTGAGACACAGGGCAACCTAGGAATTATGCAGTTTTAGGGACAGTGCAGGAGGGGACCTCTGAAGAATTTAGGGAAGCTTCAGAGATAAGGACAACCAAGGAAAAGTAACCAATTCCACTAGGAAAAACAAACATCCCAGGACCAAGGACAACATTGTTAATGCTAGTCCTGGTTTCCTTCAGGTGGTAAAGGGAGGTGGAGATTGGAGAAATGGAGAGTGGCTTAATTTATGGACAACTTAGAAGGGCAGCTGTTTAACTTCAATGCAGGGATGCCCATCCAGAGGACTGGGCCATAAAGATAAAGATGCAACAAATGGGGAAAGACAAAACTGTTAGATAATGAATGTGAAGATCCCACTCAGTAGCAAATTAAGTGAGACAGCCGAGAACTAACCAATCACAAATAGACTGTGAATAATGCTTTAGAATAATGAGGGAAAAAAAGGTATAAATTCCCTAAGACACAACTCCACTTTGGCTTCCTTGCCCCTCCCAGGGCTGGTTCCCTGGCCTGGGAGTCCCACTTTATTTCTGTTCTTTTTCTCCTCAATAAACTTTTTCTTTCTATAAACAAACTTGCCTCTTCTCACTTGCTTGCCTGAGCGTCTGCGAAGTTCCTGATGCAGCTTCATGAGACACCAACCCGTGGGGGTTTAGCGGCTGGGGCTCGGCACTGCCCTGCAGCCTGGGATCTGTTCCTGGCTGGGAGACTAGGCCTGACAATTCCGGTATCACTTTCTCACAAAATATCACTTCAAGAAAGCAAAGGCCACTTCCGTGATTACTGTTCTTACCACCACTCACAGAAAATTTACCACTGTCAAAAACTTCCCATGAACATACTGAGTGAATAAACTAATGCCTGAAGAAATACCTTAAAGAAAACAGCTGGTGAGAATAAACTAATAGAGAGAACACAGTAAATGTGACTACCGCAGAATAATTTCCTGCAGTATCAGGGACTGCATACTGGTTAAATCCAACATTAACAAACATTAAAAAAAGAGCAGGAGGACATCTTGGAGAGAGCTGTGTGTGGAAACTGAATAAAGAATCACTTCAATAAATGCAGATCAACTGTCCAAGGTTTGGACACTGGAAAAGTTGCACAATGTGGCCTAGGGGGTAAGAAGGGAAACCAGGCATGGAGCAAGACCCCAGCCTGGGACTGAGAACCAGGCACAGGACACGGGGCATGGACGCACCCTAGCAGCGGGCACTGCACAGGGTGACAGCCAGCGTTTTGGACCTGACAGCCCTGGAACTGAGACCTAGAGTGCAGCATTCAGGGCGGGATCCATACAGCTGCGGGCACAGTGCGGGGTGAACGCGCAGCAGACACAGCACCCGGCTTGAACGACAGCCCCTGTGTTGAGGTGCCCCCCCCCCTTTTCTCAGAGAACCACTGGGGAAAAGCACAGGTCAGCAAGGGCAGGTCTCTGGTGCCACCTGGTGACCAGAACAAAGCCACCGATGAGCTGATTCCCTGCTGGAACTGAGTAAACACGGAGGGCGGGAACCGCAATGGGCAGAGCCCAGAAACAGGGCATCAGGGCCCTGGTGGCTTTTTGGCTAGCGGTGCTGGACTCGGTCCAGTGAACAGATGGCAGCAGCTTGACTCTGTGCTGAGGACTCTCCAGGCCAACTATATGGAACTTAAGCATCCGTGGACTTTTGCTATCTGCTGGGGGTGTGGGGGTGTCATTCCTAAATCCAACTCCCCCAGATACCAAGGGATGACTATAAAGTTTCTGGGGGCTCAAAAGTCCTACATGGATTTTCCACCGCCCGGGATCAGCACCCCACCCCCCTGTTGCTTAAGGGTCAGTCAACTGTGAAAGTAAAACCAATCATGAGAGCATAAAATACATGTGGTTCTGCTGGCAGGACAATCACAGACACTGCTACTACAACTGTAATTTGATGCCACGATTAAATAAAATGCTAAATTTCAGTTAGAATTAGGGAAAATCAAGATTCATTTTACCTCTTCCTGATTCCGTACTCCTGTCTGATTGAAGGATAAAGGGTGCAGTTCAGTGAACAGGGAGTTCAGTTCTGAGAAGTTTGGAGACCAGCTCCAGCTAGATGTCCCGTCAGGGATCTCGGCAGGAGAGGAAGGCTTTGGTGAAGTTTTTCTGAAGGCTGCAGGGAAGTGGAGTAAGGCAGGAGTGAGGAAGACACACACAGTCACCTTCTCTCCTGCAAGTATCTCCTCCTGAGGGTCTCAGCAGGTCTTTCTTTATACCTTAAGGCCAGCAGTGAGATGACATCAGCATAAGCATCAAAGCAGAAGAGAGACCATCATTACATATTTCCTCATGAACATACAAAGACCCTCTTGATCTCATACCACAAAAGGACACTTCCTTAATCTGATTAAGAAAATCTACAGGGACAATGACTCCCCTAGGTACAACTCATTTTCTATTGTAATCCATTGTCTAAGTCAGGACAATGTTCAGTAACAATCAATCACCCTGTCAAACCTTCCTAATTTCAGAGTGGACATGAAAGTCCATTGTTATGCTATATTACTAAAATCAGCCCATCCCCTAGTACTCAATTCCTCTAGCCCATTATCAATTACTTCAAAGTTATCTAAAGTAACTCATCAATACTGTTTAGTTCTACAGAAATCTAACTTTCAACCAGAAATGCTGAACCTCCACACAAGCTGCACACTGTTAACTTTTTTTTTTTAAGATTTATTTTTATTTATTTATACAAGCACTGGGCACAGTCAGAAGCACGGGAGGTGAGAGAATCCACCAGAGCTGGGAGCAGAGCAGGCAGAAGGACCGGAGCACGCCGCTGAGGTGAGCAGCGGGTGGCAGGAGAGGTCTGCGTGCCACGTGGGACCCTCCTCCGGTGGCCAGGGAGCAGCTGGGTTCGAACCGGCGCTGCAAAGGCTGTGGGCAGCTCCACAACCCAGCGCTCAACCGCTGCACCACCGGGGAGGCCCACACACACTGTTAACTTTTCCCATACACCAGGAGATGTACTGTTGCCGCAAACAGGTACCCCCCCAGGTTAGGCTATGGTTTCCAAGCACAGCTGGTGCAGGGCAGCTTGTTCTCCAGAGTTCTCAGGGCCAAAACATATCCTTCCTAACTATATCTTTAACAATGTTTACTTCTTTTGTGACAGTTCATGTGTAAGAACAATAAGCCAATTGTCACCTGGGTCCGATTTAGGTTTTCACAGGCAAATGAATAACTAACTTACTTCAGCATTAACCAGGAACAAAGAGGAGAGCTTTAGAAGGCTTTGCCTTGGAGACTCCCTAGTTCAGATCTTCTTTGCGAGGTGCAAGGACTCCCGTCTTCTGGGAAGTACAACTTTCCCTCTTCGTGGGAGCACAGGAACTCCCCGCTTCTCAAGGGTCTCCCCCAAAGCCCGGACCACGTCAAGAGACAGCATGGGAGGCACAGCCTGCCACAGAGTAGGCTGGGAAGGATG